GCGGCTTTCCCTGTAACGCGGTTTGTATAGCCTTCCAATCCAGTTCCTGGATGATCTCGATTGGGATGGGTTTACCAAGATATCCTCGCGTCGCGATGATCAGCGTTTCCAGCGCTGGGGACGCTAGACTCTGCAGGATCAACTGAACGCAAAGCAGTACCGGGGGCCACTCCTGCTCGAGATCATACATCTGGATGGTTACGCTGAGCACGCGGAGGTTTGCGCAACGTTCCAACGAGGCAGTCGTTTGCGGGGAAACTGGGTTGTTCAATCTGCATGAGAGATGAACGTTCGGGATGACGAGCCACTGACTTACCGTCAAACTTGTCGCGGTAGTACGGCTGCACGTACGCTGAGATCCCTATGTAGAGAGCGTTCAGGTTCAGAGGGCCGAACAGGTCCAGCATTGGCTGCGCTTCGTGCGTGCAGTAGAACGTGCTTTGGAAGCGTAGCGTCTGGAGGAGTTCGGCGCTGGGATGGCGAAGCATCCATTCGGACGCGTGACGGAGCACATAGGCAGGAGTGTCGTAGGCGGAGACGTCTAGCTCACGCAGATGCACAGGCGGCATCATAATCGACCCCGAGGAACGGGGAGGCCGAGGCTCGCGCAGTAGCCTGGCGACGGACAAGAGCCTAAGCGTGTCGATGTGCGGGAAAGATCTCAACATGATGTCCAGGACGCCAACACCGAACCTGCACTTGTGGATGCCCAGTCGTTTCAGCGAAGGCAGATACGGGCTAAGATCGTAGTCGTAGTCACCGTCCCTCTCGAGGACGTATCCTGCTAGAACAACTTCCTCTGTCGCTTCCATGACTGGCAGCCAGGTTAGCAGCCCCATATTGGGCAAGGCCGGATCCGGGGGATCATCCCCCCACGGCGCAGCTATCCACAGTTCACGGACCAGACTGCGTATTTCCGGCGTGGAGGAGAGCACCTCGCCGAGCATCGCGTAGTTGTCATGCTGGAGGTGTACTTTGAGCGTGCTGAAGCGATGGAAGCGCGCCGTAGTCGTCCATTCTCTGCCGACGAGAGCGCATGCAGCGAGAGACGCGATGTCGTCGTGGAGGTGATCGATGACATGGTCGACGAGTTCGGGAAGTAGCTTCTGGGTAGGAGCCTGGCTCGACGTCTGCGCTACCGCCGGGGTCGATATGACCCCTCCTTGGCAGGGTGTGATAGACATGAGGCGTACGACGGCTCTAGCGACTGGGGACGGACCAGTGAGTCGCAGCAGCTGAGGGGCATTGGCATTCGGCATACTCACACTTGATAAACCCGTCCTTTGCGATGGGCGCTCATAGTACAATGCAGATCGTATGCCATTGTTGCACCGGCTGGGATCGTGAACAAAAACCGAATTGGTTAGTATCGCTTGAGATCGTCCATCTGATGCAGGGGGAAAGTTAATCCAAGCCAGCCATCGTATCATGAGGCTTCAGCTTCAGCACTTGGGACCTTCCGCGGCGATCCACGCTCGGGTTTGGATGTCGGCAGAGAGCCTGACGCTGTTGAAGATGATCGCTATCGGTTAAGGCGAACATATTGTCGCAGACGAAAATGCCGGTAACCCTCCGCATTTCCACCCGCCGTCATCCGTTCCACTTCTGCAAGAGAAATCAGACAGCGATGTACCATCGGTATGTAGATGACGACGAACACGTCTCAGACGACTTGCATCTCCATGTGGAGGACCCAGTAAGTGACATTGGGTGAGCTTGGGGGACGAAGAGAGTTAGCTGCTTCCAGAACAATGTCCACGTCGAATACTCACCGCCGCACTTCGCGATCGCACACGCACCGCATAGGTTGCCTTTGCCTGAAGTGCCGATTTTAGTCCTATGCGTCGAGTTCGTGCTTCTGTCGCTCGTTACAATCCACGCTGAGGAGACCACGATTAGGAAGGAGGGTACTGATGAATGCAACACAATCCACTTGTCTGGGATTCGCGCATGGATCAGGGACATATGATCTTCCACAGTCCTTGTTCGCTCATATGCTAAAGATTGGAGCACCTCTGCCTTCGAGCACGGCCCCACAAGGGCGAAAGCCGGCCGACGAGGCATCATTGCGAATGTCGCGTAGTCTGGCAGGCGAACATACCAGAGTGTTAACTCGCGCAGAGCAGGGAACCTGATGCCGACGTCGGCGTGCCTGTAGCCAAACCAGTCAATGCCTTGCAAAGAGATGTGCTCCGACCGCCGGAAGCAAGGCCGAGCCGGAGATTATGGAATGCATTTGTAAGTTTCAGCGTTGTGAGAATGAGCATATCTCTGGCGAAGAGGCTAGGAACTGATTGGACTCATTGAAGGTTTCACGGCCCACGGATACACAGAAACGATGGTAGCGCACGGCAGGCAACACGGCACGCCAGAGCGCATGAGATGGGGATTACTTGTCCTGATATTGGTAGTCGATGATACGTTCCGTGCGTTCTGCAGGTAGACGAGAGCCATTGCTATGCACTCGCTCGCAGGGAGAGACGGTAATGGTCGAGGTCTCGGAGACACCCTCGGAGCGCCCGTGATCGCTTGTGGCGCACTTGCTCAGTTGCTGCCCACCTGCCCGGTTTGTCATCTTCACTTTGAACTCGACCTCATCACTCCCTGCCTGGCATCGGCGGAGGACGCAGAAGATGAACAAGCGAACATTTGTCGCAGAGCAGGAACGTACAGAAGGACATACGCATGTCTTGCTCATTACGACCGGCAGCGTTGCCTCCATTAAAGCACCATTAATTGTCACTGAGTTGAAGTCCGTCCGTGTCTTGCTGTATGATTTTCAAGTAACGTTCGACTGACACAAACGCTAACATGTAGTTTGAGAACGTCAAAGTCGAGGTCGTGTCGACCAAGGCCTCGTTGTCGTTCTTCGACGTAGGCGCGGTAGAACGAGCAGGCGCCAGGGTCTGGCGCGACGAGGATGAATGGGCTGCAGACGTGTGTCCGACTCCTCTACGTTGTGAATAAACTTTGACATATTGAGCCAGGGAGGATATAAGATCGGTGACCCTATACTTCACATAGAGCTGCGACGATGGGCGGACATCGTCCTCATCGCACCCTGTTCAGCGAACACGATAGCAAAGATCGCTCACGGCATTTGCGACAACCTAGCGGTATGTTCTTCTCACAGCGACGCAAGCACAGCATGACTGACGGGACGACAGACTTCTCTGCTCCGCGCACTCGCGCCTACAACGCCTACATACGTCTTCCCCGCGATGAACACGCTCATGTATGAGCATCCGCTCACGGGAGAGCACCTCAGAATCATTCGAGAGGTCATAGAATACCAGGTCGTTGGACCCGTTGGCAAGACACTGGCCTGTGGCGATGTTGGTACGCGAAGATGCTGATTACTGATGCCTATTGGAACCCTAACGACACCGTTTGCAACAGGTGTGGGTGCTATGGCGGAGTGGAAGGACATTGTACAAATTGTGGTGGACGCGTTCCATCTCACCAAGAAAGTTGATACGCCCACATGAGTTGTTCAGCTGACGAGCAGAGATGTAGTTAGGCAGGGCATCCATTTCGTCCGTCTGTATCGATACACGATGCAATTGTATATTATACTTTCACAGCCACTTTGCAAACGATCCACCTCCCTTCCGCGCCTTCCTTCCGCTTCACCTCACCCTGGTCACACTTCTGCGCCAACCACTCATCCACCATCTGCATCATCTCATTAACATCTGCTGCAGTAGATCCAAGAGAGTGCAGCGCCAAGGAACGCGCGAGCCATTCACTCGTCGGTGAAGGCTCCTCGGCACCTGTCTTCGACGAGTTCACCGGAGGAGGAAGACAATGCAACTCTCGGTACGCGCTGCGCATGATGAGCCACACTGTCGCGCGAGCCTTCGCGCGAACTCCCTCGACGAGTGTGTACATGGCCTCCAGTGCAAGGTTGTACGGTCCTGCACGTTGACGAGCACCCTCCGGCTTGTCGGAATGGTCGCCGGTTCTAACGGGAGCGCCTCTACCTCCACTTGCCTCTGTCGAAGCCTCGAAGAACCGTTCGAATGCACCGCGGTCCGTAAGTTCTTGCAACTTGGCGTAGTTGCTCGTGCGCAGACAGTGCGTCAGGTGGGCGAGCCATCGATACGCTGCGCCGTCGCGGGGGAGGAACGTGCGAGGCAGGGAATGTAGGTGCTCATGGAACCGAGTCTGCGAGGGGTAGCCTAGGAGGAGGTGGTGAAAGAGAGACAAGAGTGTCGTCGAGAGCGCCCCATGAGTAAACTCTGGGACTTCAGGACGCGCGAGGTAGAGGTGTGGGAGGAGATGAGAGAGAATGGACGTCGTCTGTTTGTCGGAGCGGAACAGAATCGAGAGATGGAGAGATGTTTCGTATACTAAGGCGCGTGTTTATTCACGCACATGTGTGATACAACGGTATTTGACTCACCTTCGACTGCAAATGCGTCCTTACGGTCGGTTGCAAGGAGTCCTTCCCTGAGCTTTCCTGATGCGATGTGAGCACAGCGAACCTGCAATGTTAGCGCGGGCACAGAGAATAACACATACTGAACAAAATCAAGATATTCTCCTGCTCTTCCTGACGATGTTTTGTCGCATCCACATCTCTTCCGCTCGCCCCATGGGGGTGGCGCTTCCAGTGTTCGTTGACCTATACAACTCAACCGTTCGAACTCAACTCCTCAGATCGAACAAGTACAGTATACCTTGCCCTCAATGAATGCACGATATTCCTCCTGGACGGCACGGTCCCTCAGCCTACGTGCCTATTCAACGTCACGATCGAGCTATCTTCAGAGGTCACTGGCGACGACTCACGCATCCCCGTCTTTGTCCAGGCCGCTGCTCCTACTCAGAGAGGGCATGAGCTCCATGTGCCGTTTGCCGGGTTTGTACACCCGGTGTGCTCGACTTGGGGTTAATATCCCAGCGGGTTTGCAGGGCATTTCAAACCCCGCTGTGGCGGCTGTGGCGCGATCGTCCCGAACGTCTCTAAGTCGCGTCGCGCCCCGTTACAACGCGAATAGTAGATTGCGTTTATACGGATACTTATGTACATTACAACTGTTTTGTACCGACTCATTACTATGCAATATACTGATTACTAGAGTCACGCCACAGTTAAGGACTCCGAGTAGTAAGGACGAGTAAGTAGGAAGATAAGCATAACATACTAACAAACAAGCTAGTACGACTTTCAATTCAGCGCCGTGCGATATACTTGTAACCTATAACGTTTGAAGGAGCCGCCTGCCCCCGTTCGCGGGTATTCGTGATGGGCATGGTTCGTCTGCGCTCATGCTTCTCGATGTCTCGGGCCCAACGCACGGCTGGGCGGGTCGCGCGAAGGGCGTTTTGGACGAAGCGGCCCTCTGCACCGGCGTCGCGTTGTTCTTCAATGATATCAGCGGCGCGGTGTAACAGGCGGAGATGTTCGTCCACGTCCACGTCGTCTTCGTCATCAAGCTGACACGGACGTTGTCGATCGTGTTAGTGTTGGCGCACCATTGCAATTGGGTGGCATTGCTTACTGTAAAGCCCGCACTTCCACCCACCCGCGCGCGCAACAACCCGTCACGTCCGGTAGGCGGTGGTTTGTTAGGTGACGAATCTATCTGTAGGTGTGCCCGGCAATGAATACGAGTCATGTAATCCCGAAGTGCACATTGATACTCACCGGTGATGACCTACTAGTGACTGCCAAGGCGGGCAGCACTGAATCTTCCTCTCCCGATTCCTCTGAAGTATCCGCCACCGGCACCTGCGCCTGAGATGCGCGGGACATATTCACCGAACCGGGAGGCGCCGCCGCACGCTTGCCATGACCACTGCCAGTGACAATCGCCGAGTCCGAGTCATCCGAGTCCGACGTACTGGTATCCACCCTGGGCATTCGACTGAGCCATGCGTGCTTCGTCGTCAGTTCTGGGGGTGGCGCGATCTTGCCGTCGATGGGGACTGTGTAGAAGGGTGGAATATGAAACCGCTGTACCTGCACCCACCATAAGGCAGGTGGGTTTCCCGCGGCCCGAACAAGGTGCTTGCAGAGAAGGTAGGCATGGTACTTCTGAGCGCCGCAGTCGCATGTCCAGCGGTGGACATCCGTCGTGTACGTGCCTTTGATCGGGACCTTCATGAGTCGCTCCCACGAGTGCTTGAAGTGCTCTTGCATGGTCGTGAGTGCCTGTGCGCGGCCTTCGCGGTCGCTTCGCAGGAGACGTCGGAGAGTGAGACGGTAGGGTGGAAGCGCCTTCGTGATGATCGCGTGAACAGCGAGGTCAACGGGCAGGCGGTTGTACATGTGAAGTACGAGCCGTTTCAAGTTTCGCCAGAGAGCCTCGACCATCATGGTCGTACGCTTGCAAGGAATGCTCGCGGAGTACGCACCGCGTGCCCACAGTGGCCATCGCTTCCGTGAATACCACGAATTCCACAGGTAAGCCCACACCTCGCAGAGATGATTGACTTCGCAATGCCGGTACATCTCCTCGACGGCATCACGGCGGATATCATCCTTTGTTCGCTTCTCGCCATGCCGCTCGGGAAGGAGTGAGTGCTGCGATGCATGCTTCGCAAAGAGCCGCAGGATTGAACTTGGGGTTAATATCCTAACGGGGCGCGACGCGACTTAGAGACGTTCGGGGCGATCGCGCCACAGCCGCCACAGCGGGGCTTGAAATGCCCTGCAAACCCGCTGGGATATTAACCCCAAGTGTGTGCTCGAGCATGCGGAGGCTTGTAAGCCATCTTCAGGAAGAGGAGGGCCCCGGGGAACGGTTTGTAGGGCTCGAGCTCCTGTTGCTACCTATGCAGCAACAACTGGGGACAACAAGAACAGCTTCAACTTCAAGTGGCACTGGCAGTACTTGCGGTGACGCTGCGACGTGGTACCTGGACGTGGATACTAATAGGGTGGAAGTCACATTATACAACCTACTATATCGGTCCGGGATCTCGGCCAGGACAGGGAACTCGGTCAGTCGAGCGTAGGCAGTGAAGTTCCCATCCGTTTCGTGTAGTAAGTATACCAGTCGATAGCTGTAATCGAAACAAACACAGCAAGGTACCTTTTGTCCGAAAAATCCCAGCCGTTCTTGAGCAATGCATGACTGACCGAGTTCCCTGTCCTGGCCGAGATCCCGGACCGATATAGTACCATATATGCAATGGTAGGATAGGCATTAATGGGGTAGTGGTAACCTGGGTCGTTGCCATCGACCCGCCGGGGGTTCGATTCCCCCTTAATGCATGAGCCGTGTTCTTCATTCAGCTCTTTACTCGGATCATCACACTACTATTTTTGTAACTTCTGTGAGTGAGACCCCGCATGCCATGTATGTATGTACCGATCGCCCTTTCCATCACAGATCGAACCCATTATGTAACATGAGATACTTAACAGGCTTCAGGCTATTGCGGCTTCTGCCGGTCTTGGCTTTATCTTGTCCTCGCCGAGGCGCCTTGCGATCATTGCGGCGTGCGCGCTGCTGCATTGCCGCTGCTGCACCTGGCGTCGTGCCTTCTCTTTCTCTTCTGCAGCGTATGTTCAGCTGATCCGCCACATCCGCAATGGAGTCCATCCCTATGGCGAGGATGCGCTCGCCGAACAGTGCATCCCGTTCTGCTTATGCGCCCCTTCCTACTCCTCGTGCTGCCGAAGAACTTCCTCCAGCGAACTCCCTTGAAAGCATGGACGACGCACACGTACAAGAGATTCACCCGGAGTGGAAGCGCAACCTGTACATGCTCGTCGAGCGGCCAACTTCCTCGTATCCCGCCTTCATCATCCACGTCGTCACTACGTCCCTCATCGTCATATCCGCTCTTGTGACCGTCCTCGAGACCATCCCGTCCTTCCACTCAATCTCACCCCAAATTTGGTTCGGCTTCGAGACGACGGTGGTTGTGCTGTTCACGGCGGAGTACGTTGCGAGATGTCTGGCGCACTCAGCGAACGTATGGACGTTTCTGAGATGGTTTGGCTGTATGTGAGTCGTTGCTTCGTGCGCAAGACACCTGACCGGACCTCCGTACTCTCTTCAGCATTCTTCGGAATCATAGACTTGCTGGGTATCCTGCCGTACTACCTAGAGATAATGCTCCACCAGGACACCGTACGTCGACTCACCCCGTCTGTGCTCCTCTCACAAATGGCTGGCAGTCAACCTTTTTCAGGTTCACTATTTTGCGGACGTTCCGCTTGTTACGCGTATTCAGGCCATTCCGCCATAATAATACGATCCTACTGTGCGTAACGGAAGCACCAACAACGTATTGTCTGCTCACTTCTGAGCTAGGACGATCGAGGTTATGTATCTGTCGTTCCGCCGCTCGCAGCATGCCTTGTTAGCCCTTGCATTCTTCGTAGTCATGGTCTTAGTCGTGTTCAGCACCCTGCTGTAGGTCCTACCATGCGGATACTTGCGAAGTTACTGACGCTCGGTACAGGTATTTCGCTGAACGTGGAACATGGGACGAGGTCTTGGGCACGTTCATCAACTCTGACGGTGACCCTAGCCAATTCGCGGTGCGTGCGGGTTTGCTGGCAGTCCAGCCTGTTGATCTCATTCCGTGCCTCAGTCTATCCCAGCTGCTGCATGGTGCGACACGTTTATTATCGTACAGATACAGCCTGTCTAACATCGCTTGTACCACAGGTTTGTGTTAGTCAGTAAGTGTTACATGCGCGTCCGCATCTTCTCGACTCACCATGTCCAGCAATCACAACCGTTGGCTACGGCGAGATCACTCCTCGTTCCTTCCTCGGACGGCTGATCACCCTCCCCCTGCTTGTCTTCGGCTTGCTGCTCATCGCGCTCCCGACCTTCGTGCTCGGACGCGAATTCAGCTTAGTCTGGGAAATGATGAACGAAGACCAGGTGAGCCTCTTCATTCATCTCTCACCGAACGGTCTTCGCTCACTTTATCTCCAGCAAATCTCCCGCGAAGAAGTATTCAATGCACACGCCCTCGACCCGCTTGCCTCCCCCACGCTCATGCGGCGGCGTTCTGCGTCCTCGTCCGTGCAGCCTTGGCGCCACACGCATGACGAGCCACAAGCGAGCGGCAGCTCCCCGCGAGAGAACAAGGAGCTCCGCGGGCAGATAGCGGAGCTGAAGGCGGCCGTGGAGATGCAGGGCGCACTGTTGCGCCGGCTCGTCGACGCCATGGAGGGAGATGCGCAGGGGCACGGGCAGAGGCGAGGGAAGCAGCGTTTTAGAGGGCCCGGTAACGATGTACCGTAGAGCGTAATCTCGACCCACGCAATGTCCTCCACGCAGTGCTAGCATAGAGGATGTGTAGCATCCTGTTGTAATTAATTACTTAGAAGAGTCATCAGGGAGAAGAGCAATGGGTTGATACGTTGAAGCTGAAGCCTAAGGCGGCCACAAAAACTAACGAAAGCGGGGATGCATTAAGGGGGAATCGAACCCCCGGCGGGTCGATGGCAACGACCCAGGTTACCACTACCCCATTAATGCCCATTTATGGCCAGACCCTCGCACTTACATTTATGTGTTGTACTGAGTCACAGGCTCTGAGTCTGCCTCATCGGAGAGGCTTCCTCTTTCTATCACCTAGGCTGATGCTGAGTCGATTTCGTCGCGTTCAGGAGAGCCCTGCCTTGGCATTAGGTCAAAGCTACAGCTGTTCACTGGCTGGCCGGCTGCTCTACCCATGAATGCTCCATATGGAATGGCACTGAACTGTCTACAAGGTCTATAGGCACGTTCTTTCTATAATCGCCTTATACTCTACGTATTCAATTGCAACCGGCACTTTGCTTTGCTTCGAGTGAATGGCGTCTATCTGATTGTTTGTGGCAGGCCCAAGCAGATCGGCGGCACTGGCTTCGACCGTATAAAAAGCGGACACCGCCGTGACGCCGCAGTCCTCCTTCCTCCTTCCTCCTTCCTCCTTCAGCCTCAGCCTCCTTCGAAAGGCGAGACTGTTATTCGCTTCTCCACATCGCCGTCTGTTCAGGTGAGTAAGGCGCACCGTAGAACCTGTATCTACGAGCATTCGCCTCGGGACCGAGCGGGCGATCGAGATCGCACTACTGCCGTTTCGATCTCGATCCTTGGTCGCCCACTGTCCTCTGTGGATGTTGTCAGCATCAGTCCTCTATTGAAACATGCTTAGCCTTTTGCTTAGGACACGCGTCGCCAATGAGCGAAATGGGCGATACTACACCTCCGGAAGTCGCCAATGCCGCGGCGACTGTATTCCACACGCGCAGCTACCAACAGGAACTCCTTGAAGAGAGCTTGCGGTCCAACCTCATCATTGCGCTTGATACGGGATCCGGCAAGACGCATATCGCCGTGCTGCGCATGAAGCATGAAGCGGAGCGGGAACCGCGAAAGGTGAGTTATTCCCTCGTCTGCATTCTCGTTGACATCGATTGTTCCAGGTATCGTGGTTCTTCGCACCTACAGTGGCGCTTGTCGAGCAGCAATGCGATGTCATCCGCAAAGCCATCCCAGTACCTGTATGCATGATCTCGGGCGCATCGGAGCCCAACCAGTGGAAAGACCGAGATCTATGGCGACGTGTTCTAGAATCTCATAGGATCATCGTCTCTACGCCACAGGTCCTGCTAGATGCACTTCTGCATGTAAGTCTACGTCTGACTTCACGATCAAAAGTTCTGATCGGAAGCTTATATGCGCAGGGTTACGTTGATCTGGGTATGGACATAGGTCTTCTTGTCTATGACGAAGCCCACCATGCGATCGCTAAGCATCCGTATAACATGATCATGCAACAATTCTACTTCAACTTGAACAAGCGCACTCGGAACTCCGGATCGTATGACCGGGCTCGTCCCATGGTGCTCGGCCTGACAGCTAGTCCGATTTATGGCGGTAACCCAGATGCCGCATTCGAGTAAGCTCTGACACCTATCGCTGGAAATATCCTGAATGATAACACTTTCTTTGCAGTAAACTCGAACACAATCTCGATAGCATCATCCGCTCGTCGCGCATGCACCGAGAGGAGCTCGCTCAATATGTTCATAGGCCGGTTTTCAAGCACGTCCTTCATAGCTCTCCATCATACGATTGGGAGACACTACCATCTTACAACACGTTCTCGCTCAAAACAGTGGTCGACTCGCTCAATATCGAGCACGATCCGTACGTGCAATCCATGCGTGGTCAACTGGCACGAGCGCATTCAGCGGAAGAACGGCACCGCATCGACCAGAAGCTGTCGAAGGTCATTCACAAGGCGGACACCTTCACGCATCGGGGTCTCAGGGACTTCTTGAGGGCCGCCGAAGAGATATGCATGGAACTTGGAGAGTGGGCGGCAGACTGGTACATCGTCAAGGTCATCGAGCAGGCCCGCCGCGCGGCGAACCCATACAACAATATCATGACTAGCTGGCAAGCGAACGAGAAGCGTTACCTGCTCGACAATCTCGACAAGGTGAACGTCGTCCCTGTCTCGACGGACCCCGACGAGATCCGGCATATGCTCACGCCAAAGGTCCAAGCGCTGGTCTCGTGCTTGGTCACTGAAGAGGAAGACTTTCGGCTGGCAGACGAGACGTACAGCGGCCTCATCTTCGTCACTCGGCGG